AAACTAAATGGCACATTAAAGCCCAAAGATGCAGAGTTGAAGTTGAAGCAGATGCATGATCCATTAAAAAATTATTTCCCTAGCAATTCTCAAATTTAAAATGCCATTTATGAAATGAAAAGTAAATATAAGAAGGATGGTATAATACCCATTATGGTACCACCATTGTATAATCCATATAGGTGTCATCATGTCATATTTTCATTAATATTTACTTATGTTTTCTGTTGTTTTTTTTTTTGTTTGTTTTAGAAGTTGTGCCAAGCTTCATTCATTGATATCTATCAGAATAACCTTAAATCATCAGTTTGTGAAATGACCCCCCCCTCTTGAACATCATTGGCTCAGTGCTAAAAGACGTTGGGCTGGCTCACATGGCAGGTGTTAAAGTAACCTATTAAAATAATACATCTAGTTATTGCTTTTTTTTGCATGATGCATTTTTTATAAAACTGTGCATAAGCATACAAAATTTCATAAAGAACAATGCAACCCCCCCACACCCACACACCTTCTCACTGTCCTCTCCACCAACTCAGTATCTGTCCTAATGTAAGGGGACTAAAACTGCACACAATAATCCAAAGCTATAATTTTCTTACTATGGACATCTATTTTGAAGAGGTATTTACCTCCGCTCACATAAATAGCTACTCTCATTCAGTGCTCTCATCTATATGCAAAATATTTTTTTGCATGTCACAAGCTTTGAGCTCCCATGTACCCTAAGATTAATGTGGTTCAACTGCATCTCGCATGCAACAACCCTCCACCAATAGGAGTGCAACATACCCTCCTGATGCATGTGACTCCCTTTGATCGATTCTACCATACTATCACTTTGACTTTTAGCAGAAAATGGAAGCACTGGTTTTCAGTGGAGATGAAGAGTGGGAAGACTGAGCAGAGATATGTACCTATTGAAAATACATTTTAAGTACAGGAAAATTATAACTTCCAATATGGTACATTACCTCCTCTCATATGTATGGATAGAATCCCACATTGAATAGGTGGAGGGACCAGTGCAAGTGAAAGAAAGAAGAATCCTTCAAATGTGTCCAAAGGACACCTTAAAAGATTAGGTCCTCATAGTAGAGGGTAATATGTGGGAGACCGCACCACTTTTCTACCAGATATTCCCTTTGTTCAATGCAGAAAGAGATGTCACAGACATGAGCGGAAATTTGGAGAAGCATATCCAAAAGATACAGAAGATAGGGATCCAAGCCACACGATATTGGAATCTCAAGCCCATAAATGATATCAATGTGGGTGAGAGTAAAAGGATGTACCTATAGGTGTAGAGTGGCTAGGGTGTGGTGGACCCTACATTAAACTGCATCAAAAACCCAGTTGCCAGGAACCGACAACGATGCCAGGGGTAGGAAAAAGGATCATACTGTTGGCAAGTCAACTACAATCCAAAACCCACCCACCAGGAACCAACTTCCATGTGGGAGTAGGATGAGGAATCCCAATCAAAGGGATGAACCACAATTTTGACTGCTCACTTCAAAGCTACATCCCCTTGGATAAACCCTGTACAGAGATGGAGCATGAGATTGAAGGATATCTTGTCACCTACACCAGTAGAGCACCATCACCCTACCCTCATATGAATGGTTTTATCATTATTTATATCATATATCATTATCACATTCAGGAGAATACCTCCATGGTCCACCACCCCAGTGACTTGGAACTGGAAAGTGGTAAAGTCTCCCAAACATCACTGGAAGAAAAAAAGGGAAGAAAATGCGGAGAGTCCAAAGGACCATCAACACCAGAAACAGTGCAATGGGAAACCATGAAAAACCTATTTTGAAAATCAGGCCACTCCTAATTTATTCAGTCTAAGGAATAGCAGGAATGAGCAACTATCCCTTTCTGTTTTACCCCTGAAGTCGATGGGTTAGTACGGTCCAGAATGGGCACATGAATGAAGCAAATATATCGTGAGGAAAATCTATGAGCAATCTTGTGGAACACCCCATCTCAACAGTGTGCATTTAGTAACTATGGAAATTATAATTAAGTCATTATGGCCTTACAGTGCAGATTTGATTAGTTCAAGTATACCTGAACAGGAACCACTCACCACATAGTGGGATCCATAACGAAAAAAGGTACATTCCCCCTGAAAAATAAGAGGTGTATATAAATATATAAATGGTAACTTACCCAGTCACAGTCTCACCAAAGAGTAAGAGACAGGGACAAGTGGAAGACGGTACCCCAACAAGGAAGAAACAGCTATCCGAAGCAGATAATGGGATATAAATGTATAAGGCATAGTCCCAGTGTTTGACAGAAGAAGTGCCTCCAACATACGACAAGAGTGAGATGCATGTAAAAGGGAAGATGCCCAATCAGAGTGAATGCACCAGGAACTGATTATAGGGAAGAGGGAGATAAGGAAGAAAAGGCCAATTGAATCAAAAGCCAAATCCAATGGGTAAAGGGAGGAAGGAAGAAGTCATAAAGAAAAGACTGTTGCCAGGGAATGAAACAGGAGTAAAAGGAACCAATGGAAGGAAGCCTTGAAAGCAATGAAGCAACTCAGAGTAGGTATGGGACATAGAAGGCAAACCGCATATGAAAGGGATTAAACATGGTAGATGGAAGGAAATGAAGATGAAGAATAAGAAGAACGTGCCTCATGAGCAGCCAAAGTGTAGGGTAGGAAAAATGAATCCAGAACAAAGAAACAGATTAAGCTGAAGCAGCTGAGAAAATGAGATCTATGTTGGCCAGAAAGGAGCAATCAGAAAGGCCTGACACAGAGTGGCAAGGATGAACGAAGTCCCCCGGGGAAGATAACGATTGTGATGAGAAAATAAAGGTATAAACAAGTCACAATCCTGTTTGAATGCATCGCCAGCCAAGGCAAGTGGATGAGGAACTGGAGACAAAGACATACATATCTGAAACAAGCTTGAAGGACAAGGTCCAAAACTAGTACCCAACCCCATGGCATACTCAGTCCTGGAGAAAAGGCCCACCATAGTGTGATAAAAGACAATATAAGAAAAAAGGGAAAGAACGAAGAAGTGATTGAGGTGGGGCAGATCGATCACAGAACTCCAAACTGCATCGAGAATAGAAGACTAAAGGAGGAATTCTTAGATGTAGAACATGTAAATGATGGGAAGGTGCCAGATATGGAATGTGAATAAAGAATGCAATGGCCAAAGAGACAAACGAACAACAACAACAAAAAAATTGATTATAGTAATACATATATCTAACATGATGCTAAAATCACAGAAGTAACATCCCTCAAAAAAATGGACCAGTGGAGGAAGAGCCATCCATAAGTCCCAATTAGAAGTGGAAGAGAAACAAACTTGGTACAAGACAGTGTACCATCTCAGAAGAACCCAAAAGCAAAAAAAGCCACGCGAGTAGGGAAAGAGCCAAAGATGGCAATCGCCCCCATTTGGAGTTAAGGATGAGGAAGGTATTCCAAGAAAGGAGATGTATGACAGTTAATATCAGTAGGAGAGGCGATAAGGGAAGCTGAAGACTGGAAAATTTTTCTAGGAAGAAAGGGATAAAATTAACAGATTCTACCCCCATACAGATAAGAGATTTCAAGTGCTGAGAAGAAAGAAAACAAAAAAAAATACTGCCTGATGGTAATGAACCAAAGCCCATGGAGGGCAAGGCATGCCAGCATCATCTCATAAAAGAGAGACAAAAAGACCTAGCATGAACTAAGATGTCTGGAAAAGGAGGGAAAAAAACAACAACTGTGAAATGTATATAAAAAGGGCTGAGGTAGGCCTACCAGACTCTGCAGCAGAGGCCTTGGAAGTCCAATTCATATCCAGGTGGGGAAAAATTGTCAAAATAGATGTCATCCCAAATGAGTTCAGCAGTTTGAGAAGGAAGGCGAGCAATAGTGGGAGAAGATCGGGCAGACCCTGGACCAGGGTCCTCAAAAATGAAATTACTTGCAAGAAGTTTGAAATATAATTAATTACAAAAATGAAAAAGTCATTATATTAAAAAGTTAAGTAAGTGTATATTGACAATAAAAAACTTAGTAGATAGTATTTGTTGAAAAAACAATATATTTAACCTAATTTACGATTTACTAGAAAAATGAATGACAGGTGAGCCTAAAATTACAAAGACACATGTTAAGCCTAAACTAACGTTATAGTACAAAAAGATATCACTAAATATTAATTTAAAAACCCTAACCTTACAAGAAGTAGTTACAAATCTAACTAAATATATGTTATTGAAACCAAATAACTACAAATGATAATATATTAATATCAAAATATTCAAAAAGCCAGAACAGTCTCACTGCTTATTTGTCCAAAGTCAACAGACCCAAATGTGTGGGCCACCAAACTCGAGGCCCAACAAAGGTCAATTCATGTAATGAGGGAAGCACTATACAAAAATGTAATTTTGTATTACAATGATTCAAACTAAATGTAATTCTTCACATCTATAAAACAAAAATAAAAGTTCAAACTAATTTAAACTAAGAGCACAAAACATCTGTTGAGCAAATTATTTTATTTGTTTGAGCAATGGAGTGAATGGGATGGAAATATGAATACAAATATTATAGAGCAATAATCATAACCCAGAGAAGTCTGAAATCACAATGTTTTTTTTTTTAATTATTTATTTCATTATTATACATGTAATTTGCAGACATTATGAGACAGCTTCCACACATATTCAAAGCCAGTAAATTTTACATTATTCATTTGATTGTGAAGTAAATACATATTTAATTGGGAAATGCAAGACTTCACAGTCTATTGTTAGAATACCATGACTTAAACTGACAAGTATACAGCTTGGTCTGCTGATTCCTATTAGGCATATTTTTCTTTGGTGAAACAGTACCATGTCTAAATTGTTTTATCTGCTGAAAAAAGAAACTTTTTGTAGCAATCTTTTTTTTTCTCTCAGAATACTGATTATATGCAAAATATTATAAGACAACAAATAAAATAAAGCTAACTTACCTTTAAACGAGGAGTTTTCTTGATAAAATCACAAAGAAAAGTTAGATCATATAAAAATCCTAGCCGGGATCCACTAGTGCAGAATACTTCTGATGATTCTTCCATGTTATCAGACAAAAGATGGTTGAAAAGCTTATTCAGCGTATGTATGACTGTGACAGTCAATGACAGCTTGCTTTGTCCATTCAATACTTTATCACCTATATGAGGGAGACATATAAATATATATACACACACACACACAAACATTTATTGCAATGATCCCCACATTACAGCTATAAAACTAAGGCTTTTTGTAACAGTTACATACTTAAAGACACTGTTAGCCAGTATAAGGGTACAAACATAGTAAGATGTGCATGGATTTTGAACAAGCATTTTAGATTATAATGCATATCAAATGAATATATATAACAATTATTCAGTTGTTTACCAAAGTAATTCTTTTATAATACTAGTAAACCTTTTATTTGGTGGTTTTGGAATAAATGTTAATTAAAATGTGATTGTTCTTACTGATTAGTTTTATTAAGAGTTGTCATGGCAACTTTTTATATTTAGAGTACTGGAAGCTGTCACCTTATGGGGGTTTAAAGAGAGCAATAGACGATTTCATAGAAAAGCAAATAAAGACCAAATTTAAATTTATACTTTTGTCACTGATGTGATGCTCAGGAAAAGCCTTGAAGAACCAACCATATCTTCTCATGTACAGTTTTTACAAAATCTGCTCACTTAACAACATAATAAACTAAGCTACATACCCCTTTACAGCTAAATGATATATTTCCAAGAAAGTCTTTCTACATGTTGCCTCTCACTAGACTATATTTTGTGCATATTCAAATCATGATATATAAACATTCATGTTAATAATTCATAACTGATAAAAACTATAAACAAACATACACAGTACAATTTCAAGTATATTGTATATCAATAATAATTACCATTTTGTCTCAAAAATTCCGCTAACTGTCGAACACCATCTTCTTTTTCTTTGGTAATTAAAGGTTCATTCATAATTGTATATTCACAAGGAGCACTTCATGACCTGTTATGTTAATTAAACATAATTATAAGCTATTTAAAACCCATTTCCTTTATGAAAAAAAGGAAGATATGAAAATGTTAAGAGACAACTGCATCAATGATCCTGACTCAAAGTTATAAAAATTTTGTGAAGCTACTTAAATAACACAACATAAATAATAGCATGGTCCTCTACCGACTAGCCGAATACAACAAAAAAGTAAAAAGTTACATAGGTAATATGGAATGGATTGTAGTAAGAATGCAACTAGGACTACAATTTCATAACTTCCACAAAGTGTGCCACAAAAGCAGACATATTAAACAAAGTCTATAAGCAGGCATATGTACCACCAAAGAGCAGAAGAATGTATAGATAAAGGGCCTAATATTAGTTTAGTTCAATAACATTTTTCCTCTTGTATTGGTGATGGCATAGAAAAATTTTCCTGTTTATAGTAGAGTATAGTAAATCTTGATTATTAAGATCATTTGTTCATTTCCAAAACATTCCACCTCCTGGCTAACACTCTTCCACCCAATGAGCCTACAGATACCAAGTATCTTAAGAGTACTGTGTATTTTGTATATTTGCTACAGTTCCATGACACTTCTGTGCAGCTAATAGTTTGGAAACCCCTGATCTAGATAGCACTGTAAGTTAACAGATTATTTTCCTTAAAACTTCAACCTGCAGTGTTCCATTGAACTTAAGCATGAGCAAAAAAGATAGCATTTATATAAACCATTCTTTATTACTTTATATATTCTGTGATATGGAAACTCATGTAATCAAACTTATTCAGTACATCATAAATATTTACTGGACTAGTTTAATAAATTACTTTGTAACTGCAGATTGTTATGTATGTATTTCTTCATACTATAGCAATACAAATGCTTTTTTTTTTCAACAATCTTCCAAAAAGTTTTTTATATTTAAGTAAAAATTTCACTAAACATTAATCTGAATTTAAAAAACAAAACACATCAGGAACAAAAAATTAATATCATGCCCTTATTGATTTTAAACACAGTCAACAGAATAGTGATTAATATTTATTCTAATAGTAATGTCATTGATGTGCAAAACAGACAAGTCATGATGACAAAAAAAAATGGCAAAAAGACAATTTTATCATAAATTTAGGCTACAAGCAAAATTTCTTTAATTCATATGCAAAGCCCAAGTGTAGCAAAAAAATATACAAAAAGTTACTCCAAGCATACCTCTAGTATCAGAAAAAGAAATTAGAAGGACCTTGCGAGATAAAGAAACACAGGAATATGATAATTTTATATCTTGTACTATACTATAGTGAACTGATGTCACAACTACCACTCACATTAAATCATAGTTTAATAAAGCTGGGCAATTAGTGGAATTTACTAATCAATTAATCATTGGGTTCAATAATTGATTAAACTCAACATATTAGTTATCCTCACAAGTTCAGCACAGTTGGAATAATTAAAAATATTAATAATCACTAATTTTGATTAGTTGATTATTTTCATTAGTCATGACATGAATCAATTAAGCTGAACAACCTTAAATAAATGTAACATAATAATATCAATATTTTGATTACTTTGATAATTGGAATAATCATATTCAATAATATTTAGACATAGTTTTGATTTTTTTACTATTTTTGTGAAATTAATTGATTTTGTCATAACTCTGATTAATCGATACATTCTATGTAATGCTAATTGCAGTAATTGATGCTCATAGCCAACCAATTTATCAAGTTAACCACCCTGCACTACAGCTTAACCAATTTTAGACTTCTTATCCTAATCTTTATTCTAGATAGGTTATTCTTTCCAATTAATAATGTATTGAAAATGTTAAAGGGACCATTAAGTTTCAATAACTGCACTGTAAACAGGAGTGATGCTAGCAATGACCCAAACCATATCATCCCAAAACTTAAGTCTACTAGTACTACTATCTATATTCAGGAAGCATTTACTTTAGCCTATAATTTTTAAGTCTAACCAAATGTTTTTTACATTTATCTTTCTTTTTTTTTCACTTGCCCATCTTTTCTCTCAATCTCTCTCTGCATTTTTTCCTTTTAACTGATAAAATTAAAAGCAAATCTAGAGCTAGTATTAATGATATTATATATTTATTAATTCATATATAATACTAACAGTAATACTCACTTAAACTTAAAAACAAAATATAGTGGGACAAACTATTTAACAAGTAAAAATTAAAAAAACAACAACAACAATGGAATAGCCATCAGTAACTAAAAGTAAAACTTTTAGTATTACTACCAGGTTTTTGTTTTTCCTTTTTTTGGCACTAATACTAATAGTTATACTATAACTTATAGTAAGTGCTTTGTAATTTGTAAACAAACTTTTACATCATAAGTTAATTAATTTACGTACGTAAATAGAGCTGGATATAAAACTTTGAGAAAACTGCACATTCCTCAAGTTCAAGTGTCAAACCTAACTGACTGCTCATTTATCTACGAAATAACTATATATATAAAAAGAACCTTACAAGTTATAGTGAAAAAAATTTACAATCAGTTTCGGGTCAGAGTCACTATTCTTGTACGAAACATCTCGGAAATTTCCAAAATAAACAAGTCAATGTATGATTAAGTATATTTCAACAAAGCAACAATCGCACAGACCTAATCTTAACGTGTTAATTACAGAAAAAGAATTAAAATACAAATGAAAACAGCCTCAAACTCAAAGTTAAGAACTAACAAACCATCGTAACACATTCTGTGGACAAAACACTCCTACCAGCAATGCCCTCTTCATATACTGATCACCAGATTTGTCATTTCTGCATTAAGTGAAACCAAATAATAATTTTCGATTTACCAAAGTCACTTAAATTCAAATAAAACATGTTGGAACAAAGTTATATTCAAATAACGTAAATGATTTTGAAAATATTGAAATCAAAAGCTTTAAAGAATATTGTAGAAATAAGATACAAATATATTATTGTTACCTTAATCGGTTTGTACATATATATATATACATAAAGTGTTAAGTACGTAGTGTCAAAATTGTTTTTAATATGCGAGTTATGTGACAAACACAACCGACTAAAATTCGCAGTAGAAGGGAATGTATCAGAGCTTATTTTAACATTGTTTGGAACCACCAAAAATATATTACTTTTGAGAAGAGTTTGTAACATCTGTCTCTGACGCAAATATTCATACTCTTAGATTTTAAACTTTGTTCAGGTCAGGGATTTATAATTGCTGTGGTATTTTCAAATGAAACTAATTCCCCTACAAGTATTAGAGAGGTCGCTAATAACAACTGATTCAACCAGTAAATATGTGGAGTACTGTATTTAGTAACTTGACTGATTTTTCAGTCTACGTGTAGTAAAAAGACTTTACAGTAATGATGTAATTAACAAAATCTTCATTTCTATAATAAAACAAAGAGAAACTACAATGTGCATACTAAGCTTTGTTTAGTTCCACAGTTTCATTCTATTTGGATTGATCTCTGTAAACTAAAACAGAATGATCTCAACATAGTGTCTCTAGTTGATGATCTCCAAGTATAAGTGAATCAAGAAAGCATAATTCATTTCTACATTTAAAATTATTTTCTTAGTCCAGTCGACAGAGCTATCTCATTACTCTTTTTCTTTCACAGATGTCATCAATCCGGCCAGCAATTGATATTACAGTTACTGATCTCTTCACAATGGGTGCTATATGCTGTTGTAATATCCCCTTGGAAGAACAAAGAGACAAGGCAATTAGAACAAGTCAATCTTAATGGCTTTCTGGACCATTTGGTAGTGCTAAAACTGCATTGAAATTAAATAAAGAAAAAAATATTTCTTATAAAACTCAAAATAGATGGAAAACATAATATATGTTTGCATATCACATTTCTAGGACAGGGATATCCTTTGTACATAATTACATTGGAAAAAAAAGAATATGGATCAACTTGGGGTTACGGGACTATCGAGAAAGAGACCTGAAAAAATCATACCCGACTATAGTAAGTAAAATTTAGGATTTTGTAACAGGTGAGAACCTATAAACACAAAAGGCGGTGATAAAAACAGTTGCATCATATTTAAGATTATCTCTGTCAGAAAATAAGGCCAACAAGGTATTTGTTTGTGATACTTGAATCATCTTGCACTTTCAACATAAACAACATCTCATCCATATATTGCACAAGAACCTGCAGACAACAAAGGTTTTCACCAGCACCACAGTTATTTGTGAGTGAAACCACTGAGAGTGTGTCCCAGTGTTTAAAGGAATGACAAATGAAGAAATGAACCAGTTTTTGAAATGTTTGGAGTGGCTGAACTCAAGATTCCAATGCCTGATGGTCCAGACCTTTATGCTCTAGAACATCTGAACAAGGAGGAACAAGAGGACTGGGATACCATCATTTATGCTCTGTGTCACTGATTCGACTTTATAGCAAATCAGACAATTCTCTGGGCTGAGTTTAAGACTTGGAAGGGTAGGGGAACCAAAAGTCTAACCACTTACATGGATGGTCTGTACTGACTGAATGATAAGGGCTATCTTACAATAGCAGTAGCAGATCATGAGGACATTCTCATGGAGATATAAATTGAGGGACTTCCCAAGAAAGCTATGAGGCAACAACGGAGTGTGAGGGATAACCTCACCTTGACAGAATCAGTTTTTATTATGAACCAGTATAAAGAAGTAACTTTGGACTAGTAGTTAAATAAGAAAAAGCTTGCAGCAACAGCTGTTGTGGCTACATCTCCACGCAGACTGACCTACTCAGTTACCTCCATCAAGATGAGCTACAATCATGCCAAGGGTTAACCAGGCACCTACACATCCTGTCACTGTAATGCAACCACACTGATTCCAGTGAATGGTCAAGACTATTCAGTTTCACTCGTGAGGGTGTATCCCACAGTCAATGCTGATGATGCAATTGCCTGAACATCATCCAGGTTAGGAGAAGCAAAGTATTTGCTTCATTTGTCGACAGCTTGAAGACTGGCAGAGGAACTGACCATACTTTTCCAAGCAACAAAGAAGGTACAGCTATAGGTTCAAGCTGATGGCTCAGCAGGTACCAGTCAACCAAAAGCATACATATGTTGCTAATCAGCACAACAGTCAAAGATATGAGTAACATCTGATGGTTCAGAGTCAGGACAACTAACAACAAACGATGAACACTATGGAAAAAGTTACAGAAGCACAGTAAACTGTTTGCACTGATGGATATAGTGGTCAGCTCGGATCTTTCGACACTGAACAGATCCTAGTTAAGATACAAGTGTGAACGCTGAGTTCCTGGTTGACATCTCATAATAATCAAGCCTTTCAAATATGACCACAACTCTAGCCAGTAGATATTGACTCTGTACAGGGCAATGCCAATAGATTGGTTGTTGGAGAAGAGGTAGATCATTCTGTCACTTACAGAATGAAAGTATTTGTCTATGACTTTGGATCTGGAAATAGTGAATTGCATGAGTATATGTAAAACAGGGAATAACAATACGTCCTTATAAAGAAATAGTTTATCATTTTTTACTATGAATGAAGTTTTATTTGTTGGTACCATGTAATATGGTTATAGAAGCCATACATGAGATAAGTTATTTCATGTCAACAAGGCAGACAGCATTAGCTTTAACAGTGATATGTATGATGAGAGATGAAATTCCAATGTTTTGCTTTGTGATTATGAATGACTGGATATTCTGCTGTATGCTGGAATAGATATAGGTGTTATAAGCAAAATGAAAGTAACTAATGCTAGTTGCAATGATAGTGTTGCTCCTGGTGCACTATGTCTAAACTAGCAACACATTTGAGCTCATTAATTGATAATTGTGAAAACAATCAAGACCCAATCCAGCAGAAGCCCCTCAGTGACTTGGTTGAATATGTTGATATAGATGCATTTATTGAACCAGATGGCCAATTGGGTTGAACAATGGTGACTCAGTACATCATACATACAGAAAATTCATGTCCAATAAAACAACAGCCCTGTTAGCGTACCTGGAGCACTGGGAGCATCAGAAGTGCTGAAATATAGTGGATTTTGAAGTATGAAGTTTATACCCTATGAAGTGTGGTTGGCTATTTCTAATAATGATTGTAAGGAACAAGGAATGTGTGCCAAGGTTCTATGTTGAGTGAACATGGTAGCTGTAACAAATTTATTATTATGTATTTATTTTTAGTATGAACGTTGTTTAGATTAAATCTATATTTAAAAATATGCGTAACTTATATATTTGTTATATATTTATTTTAATGACAACGTTTGTTGGGATTGAGTTTATATAACTGGTTAAATATAATTAGGTATTGTTGTCCGAATTTTCGAGAAAACATTTCCCGCATATATAAAAAGACCAAGGCCAAAGAGCATACAAGTCTGCTAGGAACCTGTTATAACCATGTATGCTATAAACAGTGATTTTGTTCATCCTTATCAACCGGAAAATATACGTCATTTGACAAGGAACAGTTATAAATTTCGAAGTCAGTGAATTCTCGTCGGACGTTAGTATCTTTCCGACATTATTACTGGATTCTCATCGGACAGTAGTGGTTTTATGAAAATATTATTTTACTTCAACTGTCCAACAATTCAGTGTCTGGCAAAGCTAGCTAGCTTCTCGGCAATTGTACGTACATCGATTTCAAGCAAACTCGCTGGATATCAATGAGACTTTGAACTAGGAAGAAGATTTTATGTTATTTGTAAGTTAGTGAAATTTTTGTTTATGAAACATTGTTTGTAGTAATCAATCGTAATAGCTGCTATTGTAAATTGTACCGTTGCATATATATTAAAACGTATTTGTGGCAAAAATAAAAATGGTGTGAATCAATCTTGTTGACAAATAACATAAATAAAGTAAGATATTTGCATATTTCTAGACACCAAACCCATGGTACAATTCAACTATTAAAATTTAAATTATTTAACTCGGCTTCAGATTATTTCAAATTCTCAATACGTAGCATTGATATCGTTTCCTTTCTGTAGATAGATGAATGTATGGACCAGTTAGAAGGTTTCCATTGTTTCAACATTTGAGATCTGGTTTCCTGTTAATGCCAAGTCAAGCTGGATGACGAGAACAGACCTAAGACTGCTTTTAGCATGAGAAGTGGCTTGTATAAATTCTGCAACATGCCTTTCAGTCTTTGCAATGCAGCCATCACTTTGGAGAAGATAAAATAAGCTAAGAGTACTGTAATGAAATATATGCTTGGACTGCATTAATGATGATTTGTTGTTTGGTCACATGTTCTAATCTGCAGCTGAAACTTGAAAATGGTATTCCAGCAGATAAACAAAGCAGGATTGTACCCCAAACGTTGGAGTGCTCATTCAACTGAATGGAAGTGGAGTTTCATGGTCCCACAATGCAGAGTAACAGGGTTTCTATGGGCCCGGCTGAGATACCCACAGAGTGAAATTGGTCTCAACTTGTAACTAAGCACGAAGTTCACAGTTTCCTTAGTGTTATATAATATTACCAACAATGTGTGTCTAACTTCTCCAAAATCACAACACCATTGCCTGCTGTCACAAAATTCTAGACACACTTTTGAAGGAGTAAGAAATGTAATGTAGTATTTTGATCCCAAAGTTTGCTTTTGTGGATGCTACAGTGATAGCCTATCCATGACAAGGCTGTAAGTTCCTGTTAGACATCAATGCAAGATAGAACGATATTAGAGTGGTGTTATCGCAGTTGTAGGACTGAGGAGAATGTGTAA